AAAATGAGTCCAAAGGCTTTCAGTTATCATTCTGAAGAAATATTGCATGGTTACTATCATTATTAACTCTTTCAACACACACACATATATATATATATATAACACCAATTACAATTAAAGTACTGCCCAGAAATGGAAGGAAGTAAAATCATTAGCTGTCCTTGATTGTAGCCCATAAGTTAGGAAATTATGTGTAAATTTCTCTTCAAAACTTACTTTTACAAGTTCCTTTTTCTTTTTTGGGGGTCGGAGGGTGGTATTGTGTCTTGAACTTGTGGCCTTATGCTCTTACTAGGGTTTTTCCCTCAGTGCTAGTGCTTTTCAATTTGTACTACACCTCATTTCCTGCTTTTTAAGATGGTTAATTGGAGGCAAGAGTCTCTTAGGTTTTGTCCATCCATGTAACTTCAAATCGAGATCTATAGATCTCAGCCTCCTGATTGGCTAAGATTACAGGTGTGAGCCACTGGTGCTAATTTTATGTTTCTTAGTTTAAATAAGAGAAGATGCTAATGTTTATCCCATTTTTCCTGTGGTAGATTCTCCTTCTGGTTTCTTTATTTGCATAAAACACACAGAGCTCATACATGAAAGCACATATGCAGAATGATGTTTCAGTTCATGACACATGGCAGAGGTCATCAAGGTTATATGTGTTAGGTTTTTAAAGAAGAGGTCAAGTAAGAACAGCACCATGCATGTGGTATTAAGGTAAGGGGTGGGTTTATTCAGAAGACTGGCTGGCACCAGGCCAGGTTGGCACTCCATGTGGCTGGCAAGAGAGCCTGGGAAAGAGAGCGTCTAGCCTTGAGCTAGGCCTTATCTAGGGTAGGGGTGGGGAAAGGTGTGGCCACAGTAAATCCAGATGAGTCCTCAGTGGATACAGATGAGACCTCTTCCAGGTGTGCCAATTGTCTGGGCAATGCAGGTACTGGGCGGAGACTTGGCTGTGAGGAGGGTGGAGTCTGCCTGCCATCCAGGAAAGGACCTTACAATATGACCTGCTAACATCATAGTAACTTGTGTAAGTACATTACATGCAGACAACAAAAAAAAAAACCACCTAGAGATACACTTCTTGGAATGTACCCCAGGCATTTAGAGATGCATGACTATATATTGTCAACTTCTAGGAACTTCACTTTTTTTCATCTGCAAATAGGAAAAATTTAAAAGTAGGTGATTAATTGTTAAACTTAAGTGATGATGTATACCAAGAGTGCAAAATACAATCAGGATTGAAGAAGTGGTATTAGTAGCTACAATTAGTGCTGTATTAACACTTCTGCCTCCTTTTTATCAAAATTATTGTCTATAAGTAGTTGTACAAAGTAGTTGCCATTTACCAATGCAATTTATGAATACCATATATTTTGATCAATGTCACTTCTTTCAACATTTTCAACCATTCCTTTCCATTGTATCCTTCTTGCCCAGCCTTGAAACCGTTTCCATTTCCTATGTATGCTCATAAAGCCAAGTATCAAATTCTGCTGTCTTTCCTTTCTGTTTCTTCTGCCACCTTCCTGATTCATTTGCATCTTCTGAAATGATTTGGGCAAACATGTAACTGTTGTTCATTGGTGTTACTGAGATCTGCTCTTCTGCTCCTCTGGTTAGAACAAATGGATAGCTGACTGCCATGTCCACTAGAGAAAGTGTAAGTGCTTTGGTGTCTGCCTGGTCGTACTTCTCTTTGACTACTTTCATCATTTCCTTTCATCGACCCTGTAGACCCATTTTGTTCTTTAGGCTTATTCAAAACTGACTTCTCTTACATGAGGTTGACCCATTGTCTCGTCCTTTATCCAATAGATATTTTATCACTTCTGTAATATTTCTTTTATTTTCTTTTTTCCCTTCCTTCCTTCCTTCCTTCCTCCCCCCTCTCTCTCTCTCTTTCGTTCCTTCCTTCCTTCTTTCTTTCTTTGTCATGGGGCTTGAACTCTGGGTCTAGTGACTACCTCTCAGCTCTTCCGCTCAAGGCTAGCTCTCTACCACTTGAGCCACAGAGCCACTTCCAGTTTTCTGGTGGTTTATTGGAGATAAGAGTCTCACAGACTTTCCTGTCTGAGCTGGCTTTGAACCATGACCCTTGGATCTCAGCCTCCTGAGTACCTAGGATTACAGGCATGAGCCACCAGTGCCCAGCTTTGTAATATCTTTTTTATATCCAAATATGTGGGCTATATAATGGTAAAAGTGTAACAATTTAGACCACATAGTTGTATGACTAAGTTGAAAAGGCACCTTGAATAGCTATTCTAAGTCTCTCTCTCTCTATATGTATATATATATACAAGCCCTTCTTAGTGCTAATGTGTGCATTGCTAATTTTCTTATTAAAATATTCCTAGAGGTCAATGTTCTCTGGTCCCTCTTGCACTTATAATTTATTGTACACAAACTGATTTCTTATAGGCTTGAATTAACTTCTTTTCATGCTTTAAGATGTAAAGGATATGCTAATTTGCATTGGCTGTGATTGATATATGATTTGAGCATATAGTTTTGTGCTCAGCTTTTGATTTGTATTAATTAAAACAACAGTTTACAAGTCTGGGTATGTATGTGAATGAAATGATTGTTAAGTAACATAACACTATAATTACAATTAATACCCTTATTGCATGCCCTCAGACCAACAAGTGCCAAGTAGCTTGTTAAGAATTGCTTTGAAATGCTTTCCTAAGGGCCCCCTATCTTGCCAAACTTTTGCAAAATGATTGATGAGAAGAAGAACATTTTATTTGAGGCTTTCAAAGTACCTGGCAAGGCTGCTTTCCATTCTGCAGATTGGCCATACTGAGGTTTTCAATGGCTCATTGCATTTCCTTGGGCTATGCAACCACTCAGGAAGAGCTGTCTACCCTATGAAATTTTTTATATTCCAAAATAGTCAGGGATCTTCCTAAGTGATTGCCATGCTATTTTATGGTATGGTCATTGTGTGCGTATGCTCCATCTGATTTTCCCTGTTGCCTTAGCTAATGAAAAGATGGAGGCAATTTTGTGGTTCTCATGGAGCTTAGCATGGGGCCTTGCATTGGGGTTTCTGACTGGCTTTTTGCCTGATTCCATTTTATTTATTTACTTAATTCTTCCTTTTTATTTTTATCTGAGTTATCTTGTTTGAAGACCTGTGTTTCAGACTAGTCATTAATATATCATAACCAACTTTCTCACCCTTCCCACATTTCTGTTAGATTCCAGGCAAACTCTTGTCAGCTGGAACACCAGGCCTTTGGAGGGAGCCACACTTGACTTTGAATTTCAGCTTTGACACTTAGGAACTGTGGACTTTGGACAAGTTTCTGAGTTCCCCCTCTGTAAATTGAGAATAATAATCTGTAATTCACATAGATGTCTTGGGGATTAAATAAAATAACTTATGTAAATTACTTTGTGCATAGTAGGCATTCAATAAATGTCAGTTCACTTCTTTTCCCAGTTAATAATGCTTATTAAACTATATTAAAAACTGGAACCAGACTGTGATAATGCATTTCTTTATTAAGCATTTAAGCCAAATAACTAATTTCCCCCAGGGGAAGGAGAAATGTTGAACTACTTTCATTTGGTGAACTTATTTAGTAATCTCTTTTTCTTCGGCTTTATTCAGTTTCCTTGTGCATATTAAGTATTCCTGCTGCAGAAATGACACCATTTGGTATTCTTTTTAACTTCACTCTGGTAGAGCTGGGCTTTATACTTTGTCATAGAATCTGCCATTTATTAGAGATCATTACTAATTATATTAACAGCTAGATTCTGTTTCCCAACCACTTCCGGCTGACAAACTTTCTGCCCTCAACTCTTTTCCTGAGGTCTAAGGATTTAAAAGAATCGAGTTTTAAATAGCAGCGTTATGGCCAGAAGAAAACTAGGAGCGGGGCACATGGATCTACACCGTCTGTGTTCTTTCGTATTAATTTTATAGGTTCTGCACTGAAGTGGAGCCACGTTTTCCCCAAGGACGCAATTCAAGGGAGGCAAGTGGAGTGGGAGCTGCGCTGGAAACAGGGTACCACGGCACCTTTAAGGACTGGAGACTTGGAATTAGCTCAGCCTCTTTCCCAGCCCACCTCTGAACTCTGATTGACAGGGCGCTGGGTAAGGAGGAGCTCAAGGAGGCCAAGGAGGAGGGGCAGGGAGGGAAGACACAGAAGGCGGGGCCTGCTTTCCCCTAATAGCCAATCAAGCGAGGGGGCGTGGCCACAGCAGCCCTCCTTCGCCCCCACCCCCCACTTCCCCGCCCCCTCCCCCTCCCCTCTTCCCCCTCCTCTCTCCTCCTTCGCGTCCTCCTCCTCCTACTCCTCCTCCTCCTCCTCCTCTTCCTCCTCCTCCTCCTCCTCCTCTTAGGCTGTGGTTTTTCTGTGTATGTTTCTGGAGTCCTGAGCCTGAGCTAAACAAAAGCAGGAGGCTGACGGGGCTGTTGGAGTTTGCAGAGACACGGAGGAGCAGGAGGAGGAGGAGGAGGAGGAAGAGGAGGAGGAGGAGGAGGAGAAGAGAGCCTGTGCTTTGCCTGTCGCTGTGGCTGAGGAGATCTGGCTTTTGCCACAGCCCACCCCCTTTGAGATCGCTCTGGCCCGGAGTGGGGGTGGGGGGCAGCGGGGGGTGGGGGGGAAAGTTTGCCTTGCAATCCCCCTGCCTTCCTCTCCTTTCTCCCGATCAATGCATATTTGCAAAAGGATTAAGCCACAGATTTAAGCGCCGGGAGCCCATTTCTGCCTTGCAAAGGAGATCGGACTGAAAAAACCAAAAGCCAGCTCTGATTTCTTCTTCTTTTTTTTTCCGCCAAGTGGGAAGGTGGTTTATTTATTTATTTTTTCTTGCTTTTTTTTTTTTTTGGAGTCAACACCCTTCCCCACCGGCCCTTATCCCCACCCTCACCCCTTCACACCCCCTCCCCCTCCCCGCTCCCCTCCTCCCACCTTCCTCTAAAAGAGGCAAAGGGATTTTTTTTTTCTTTTGGTCTTCTTCTTGTTCTTCTTGTTGTTTTTTTTTTTTTTTTTTCCCTCCCCTTCCCTGTTTATCCTGAAAAGGATTTGAAGACAGCTTGAAGGATAAAAAGCCTTGGTGCTTCCCGGGGGCCGAGCCGAGGAGAAGAGGAAGAGCCGGGGGCTTCCGTAGCCTTCGGAGATGGACGAGCAGCCCAGGCTGATGCATTCCCATGCTGGGGTCGGGATGGCCGGACACCCCGGCCTGTCCCAGCACTTGCAGGATGGGGCCGGAGGGACCGAGGGGGAGGGCGGGAGGAAGCAGGACATTGGAGACATTTTACAGCAAATTATGACCATCACAGACCAGAGTTTGGATGAGGCGCAGGCCAGGTGAGATGGAGGCTTTTCTTTTTTCCCTTTCTTGGGTTTTTGTTTTGTTTTGTTTTTCTCCTTCTCGCTGGGGGAAACAATGGGAACTGAATCCACCACAGCGCTTTCTTTTAAAATGTTATTTCTTCTCTCTCTCTCCCTCTCTCTCTCTCTCTCTGTCTCTCTCTCTCTTTCTCTGCAACTCCATGGCGAAGGAGGAGTAAAATTGAAAGGAGCGTTGTTATCGAAAGTGTAATCGACCATGCTGTGATGTGTCTGTGTACATATTGTGTGTGTGTGAGTGTGTGTGTGTGTGTGTGTGTGAGAGAGAGAGAGAGAAGAGAATATATAGAGAGGTATTCATATATACCTACACAAACACTAAAGCATAGCAGAAAATACTGCCAACTGATCCAAAAGCGGCCCTCGGCACTTTTTTTCCTTCTTCTTAAAAAAAAAAAGTCTAAGAGAGCAGAATTGTCAAGTTTTGAGCACCATTCCATGCTTTCCTGTTGAAGGACTTCTTAACACTGCAAAATAAAATGTCCCAAGAACACTTTATTTGCAAATGGAGCTGACTTCTTAGCTAATTCAGGGAGTTTGATTTTCTTTCTTGACTTTACCCCTCCAAAATTATCTTTTTCTCTTTCCTCCAACCTCAAATCCAAAACAAACAACAACAACAAAAAGCAGAGTGTTTTTTGTCAGTAGTTGTCAGCTCTCCAGAAAATACTTTGCATTCACTTATTTTTGTTTTATAGAGAAAGCTAATGGGAAAGAAGGAAAGATAATTTTGTTTTTAGGCATATTGGCTTAGTTTCAGGAGACTCAGATTTTTAGCTTAACTGTATTATGTCTTAATTTGAGTTAGTTTTCTTAACAACCCCGACACAAGCAGTTAGTTTTCTCTATGGGCTTTTAAAATGGGGTGGGAGGGAGTCCCCAAAAATCAAGCAGTCTCTTTCCCCCCTAGCTTCTCCAAGATAGGATATCTAGAACCAACTGTGTAAAAGTGATAGTATGTGTGAATATTATGCATTTCAATACCACAGAACATAATATGTTCATTCAAGAAACCATCATAAAGAAACTGTAGTGTCTTAACTTACTATCAGGCAAATAGCTCTTCACACTAGGATTTTACAGCAAATCCTTTTTTCAAAATATAACATAGATTTAGTGGCAACCTACTAATAGCTTGCCCAAGGCCCAACTCAAAAGGAAGAATTTTTTTTTAAATCTAATGACAACATATGTCTACATAATTAGGCAGCTTTGTTAAATCTTTGAATAGTCTCTGAAGTTTATTGTGTGTGTGTATGAGTTTAGTCTGAGAATCTCCTAAACCTCTTCATACAAAATTACTATAGCTCAAGTGACTTAGTTCTATGAAGAAGATACTATATATATATATATATATATATATATATATATATATATATATATATGTACACACATAATTTTGTCTAAGGGAAATAGGTATCTCAGCTAAGAAAATAGGGGGGAAGCAACTAAAAGCATGGGTGTTATAAATTATACTCTATTTTAGCGGCTAGCACATGCACCATTTAAACTCAAGAGGACCAATGTTAAACTGTGCTCGAACTTAGAAATGTTAAAAAGACTTGGACTTCTGATTTTTTTTAAATAATACAAGGAAGATTTAACTTACTATAATTATTATTACAATTAATTGGTGCTTTCTTTGAATTTTATTATCTGAAGAGAAACTAATAGGTATGGCAAATGGAAGATTTTCCACTGGCAATTTTTCTTGTGAGTCACAACAGATTTCTCCATAAGATTGCTCCAGAAAAATACACTCACACACCCCAGTACACTGGTTTAGTAACAAGTTTGTGAAGTGGAAGGGGGCAGTAGGAATAGAGGCTCAACACTTTTCTGAGGCTTGGTCTCTCTTTTTTGTGTGTGTGGAGTGGGACAAACACTGCTCAGCGGGTTCCTCTTTAATGGCCTAGATGCTGAGAAAGATCAGATACAGTTTTGGGATGGGGGAAATTCCCAGTTCTCTCTGTGTGGACCCATCTGTGTGCTGTGGTGGTACACTGCTTCCATATTGCTGTGCCAAATTTTTTATTTGTATTTGGGCCTATGCATAAGAATGCAGTTAGAGAAAACTATTTTAGAGGCTCCAATAAAGACCTTTAATACATTAAATCTTTCTCTTTTTTCCCCCTCCTAATTCTACATGAGAACTGACTGAGTGAGGGCTGCCACACTTTTCTTTTTTTTTCTTTTGGTTAAACAATGTAACTCTACTGAGCAGATAGTGTGTTCTTGTGATTTCCCTTTCTCTAGTCACAAGTTTATAAAAGCATTTGAATCCAAAGTAAGCCATTACTATTTGTGAAGAAATGTATGGGTGTATTTTGATACTGTTGAATTCTGAGTTTATTACTCTCCTGTAGTATAGTACATACAGCATGTTTGTAATCTCTGTTATTTATGAGGATGTCTCTATAATTTTTTTCCAAACTTTCAAAGGGATTAAAAAAATAATTGGTGGTTTTGAGTGCCAAGGATTTCCACTTATCTTTACACATAAATTTTAGTTAGTAAACAGAATTCCCTTAACTGATAGCTGATATGATCAGTATTTTGTTTCCAAAACAATCTCATTCTGCTAAATGATTCCATAATAAATTAGAAGGGAAGGTATTGTTTTGTTTCTCCCGTGCTTTGTACAAACACCCACAGCCACCGGAACCAGGTAAATCACTAATCTAAAAGACAAAATTATATTTCCTTTTTCCCCAGTGGGTGCAAGGTCCTAATTGTAAATAATTGAATTTCAACACCTGCAAATAAGCGGTATGTGCGCAAGAGCCATAATGTGAACACAGAGAAATGAATTCATTCCCCATATGGGTATGTTTGCCCCCTGGCAATGCATTTCCATACTCTTTAACTTGGGGACTGAAATTTTATAAATTGACAGTTCCACTCAGAAGACCTTTCAAGCATCTTGTGTTTATGAGAATACGAAGGCTTCTGCAGAATGAATTCGAACACATGGATGAATTAAATTTGAAAACACACACAGACAGAAAGGCCGACAGATCTTAGGCTGTGGTTGTTGCCTGGATTATACACAACTGTTAACCTACGCTTTTGGGTTTGCTGTCCTGAATAGGATTACTGGTTTAAGAATTTCACTTTTGATTAAACTCCTTAAAAAAAAAATCCAACCTTGTCTTAAATAGGCATATTTTAGGTTACTTCTGTGATGAAATTCTTATTCTCCACTGCTAATGAATATTATTTCTTTTGCTATGGTGAAGACTTTGTATATGAAGTCATAAAAACAATTGAAGCATGCCACATGGAGATGCCTGGCATATAGTTTCGGCTAAATGGTCAGATAGCTCCCCTACCTTATAAGTGGTTTGATCTTCAGAGTCCATCTAATCCCTCCTTCTTGTTTTTCCTTGCAGAAAACATGCTTTAAACTGCCACAGAATGAAGCCTGCCTTATTTAATGTGCTGTGTGAAATCAAAGAAAAAACAGGTAGGAAATGAGTAGCCAACCTTTTGGCATTTTCTTTGGCCAGTTGAATCACTTCACTGAGCAAATCTGAATCTCATATTAAATATTAAAATTTCCGAATAAAAGGACAATCAAGACTGACCACATAATAGTAGAGAAAATTATAGTCCTGCTTGCTTTCTTCTTTTTTTCTTTTTCGAAAAATTTATTAAAATAGGTATCAATTTTCTTTGGCAGTTATTTTCAGATATTGCATATTGATTTTTCTTAACTTGATTCTTTCTTTTGAAATTGGTGCTAAAACATAGGTTCTGGAGGGAAAAATATAGAATGGTATCGCTTTGAAGAAGGCTAGGAAAGTAAAATTCCAGTGTTTGAATGAATATATTGTGGCTCATAATTAAAATATTTTTTATTTTCTGCAGATGGGTGAAAGGTTAAACTGCTTTTAGTTTTCTATTATTTTTCCTTGTAATCATGTAAAACAACAAACGAGGTTCTCAAAAGATGGTGTTGTCAAGTCAATGTATTTGTAGAAAGCACCATATACACCATTAGGTTATAGCATTTGAATGGCCTGTGATTTTATAGCAGGATGTAGGAGAGAGAATCTGCCTGAGATCGCTCCTCTGTTGTTTTCCTACTTTCTAGACCTCAAATCATGGACTAACATACTTATAACACATCCCAGGAGGGCATTTAAATTTTAAAGCAACAATTAAAAAATAGCAGTCATCAATCAGAGGTGTTCTTAAACAACAGATGCTCTGGGAAGGACATTAGCAACATCCCCTTGTTTGTTTATTTTCATCCTTAATTTTTCCAAAGTGGGAAAATTTCTCCTCTTGTAAGAAGAAAGAGTTGAGAAGGCAATGTGAAATCAGTGTGTAAAGGAGTGGACCAGAAGGCCCTTATAGAAAGTCGGAGCTTCTGCTGTTTTCTGATGTCCTCATCCTCGCTTGCTTTTGAAAGCAGTGCAAAGTACCTGACAACCAATTTATTTATTTATTTCTTACAACAAGGAGTGTAACAGTCAATAATTCATATCTAAACCATATAAGCAAGGGCATGACATGAATGAAAGTGACAATAAATATGATTGCATGCCCGGTTGATATACATTGATAGTTACACATAAAAAAAGGTGGGGGGGATATGTAGGTGGCTTTCTTTTTTAGAGTTCACTGTGCTTCTTTTTTTTTTCTTTTTTTCTTTTTTCTTCTTTTTAAATATGTAGTTCCAAGACGTGACTGTGGATCACATAGGTCATTACTTGGGTCTTCAGATATATTAAAAAAATGAGGAAGCAGCTCGTTTGTTGCATGTTATCTGTGTTGTGCATAAAATCCTAGACAAAGCACCTAAGAAATGATGCTCAGAGATTTGGGTCTGCCAGGTTGCTTTGCCAAAGTCTAACCTTACTACAAAGCTGTTAACTGCATTATTTTAGCCCCGAGACAACCTTTTAAGAGATTTATAGATTGTGCATACAAATCTCAAAACAACTCCCCCCTCACCCCCCAGTTTATCATACTTTCTAGGGTTTTCTTTTCCTATTAGCTCTGAAAAGGAAACCTAAGTGTGTATAATGTGTATATATATATTTCCCTTCTTTCTTTTTTTCTTCCTCCAGTTTTTTCTTCTTTGATGGTTGATGCTTATTGACTTTGGATCTTGGGTTTGTTGAAAATTTGTTTCTAATCACATATGAGTTCCTGTTGACCGAGGTTCATAAAATGTCAAATCAGAAATATAAAGGAATATGTAAAGATATGGGCTAAGAAGAGTTTATCTCTGAAGGCGTTTATCAGATTTTTATTGAACGGAATCCTGTCGGGGCACCATGTATTGTAGACAAAGTGTTTAAGTCTAGTTTCTTAATTTAAAACCTAGTGAGGCTCTAGATCAAAGTGGGTGAGTGTGAATAGAGCTCTGTTCAGGTGCAGGTTAAAAAGTTGGGTTCTTGTTAATCTTAGCTAAATAAAGTGTGGTGATAGGAAGTAATCATAGTGGTCAAAATAGCCTTATCATTAGACTATATATTTTGCTTCAAAAAGAAAATATGTCAACTCATTTAATGTTGTAAAAAATGTCAGTTAAAGTTTTGTATGCTGTCTCTTGAATAATGTATTTTCAAAAACAGTTTATGAAATAATGTAAATGTAATACGTAGGGATCATTATCCTCTGTGTTAAGGAGCAAATACTCACAGACTTGCTGGACTTTAGGCTTGAGAGGAAGAAGGACACTCTGAGTGAAAGTGGAGAAAAACAAACATATAAAACAGACTACCTCCTTTTTAATCTTCACCTTGAGTGTTGGTTGGAAGGACTGAGGGAAGGAAGAAATCTCTCCTCTCCTGGAATGCCAGTGTTTTGTTAAAGGTAGGAGTCAGCTGTGGTGTGTCGAAAAGCACCCTTTGATTTCAGGGCTGTTCAGGGTCTGCTGAATGAGTCCTCATGCTGTCTGTCAGCATTTCTGCCATTCAGTTGATAAGTCTGAGAAATGTAAAATATCCATAAAGTTACACAAGCTTTTTGTTTTTCCTGTGAAAAGATCGTGGAATGATCAGTTCACGTGCATTTCTGCCATGGTTGGGGACTTTTCGTATTGTTACTTTCAGGTCTGTTGGCATGTTATTATGATGAGTGTTTCTGAGTTTCCACCTCCAGCAGGACAGAGGTTATTTGATTTAGTGTGGACTTCTGTTTGTGGAGATTTAAGTGATAGTCATACCTTTGGCTTAACTAGGCAGAGCTCTTTAGAGGAGTTTGGGGATTGCACTCATTCCCTGCTTTTACTTTTTGTTTTTGGTAATGACTTTAGTTTGAAGAGTGTGAAATAAATAGGAAGTCTAACTAAGATGTCACAGCAACCTTTTGGAACTGAAAAAAGAAAACATGCTTAATACTTAAGTAGGCAGCATCGTCTGAATTATAGCTGATGGGTAGACATTTAAGTCAGAAATTAACTTTCTTTTAAAAGAAGATCCCATGTGTCTTCTTGCGTCAGCGTGTAGGTAAAGTTTTATTTTGATAGTTTGTGCTTTTTAAAAAAATGCTAAAATAAAAGAATGCCAGCAAAATGCTCGGATAGCAAATTCCAGACAGCATTGAGAAAACATTGTCAAGATCTACAACTATTCACATTTCAGATACGGCTTTTATCTGCTTATTCACTTTTCGATATTGGGACTTCTTATAGAGTTTTGGATCATTTAATATCACATTTTTTAAAAAGCTAGTTCTTGTTACCGACACTGTTGAAATAGGCTGTGTGTGTGTTTGTGCTGGTAATTGGTTTGTGATATAGAAGGAGGAAAAAAAGTCAAACATACTGAATTTCTGAAAAAGACCCAGAATATATTTTTAAACATTTTTTGTTTTTTTTTTAAAGCTTCTATATCAAAAAGTATGCAGGTTGAAGAATTGGAAGAAATAGAAAAAATTAGAGTTATTTATAAAGAATAGTTTCAGATAGCAATGAATATAGTTACAATTGTTGTGAATAGTTTTTAATTTTAGACTATAATAGCTATGTATGACAGTTTTCAGCCAATGTTCTTTTATGAATTATGTGCACTGAAGTTAAATGAAATAATTGGAGGAGGTTACAAAATTATACTTTGCTCCCATAACACTCTTTTGTTCTCTCTCTATTAACACCCCCCTCATGGAATGGTTTGTTTCTAAGTGTTCCAATGTATTTCTTTTTCTTTTTTTTTTTTTTAACATCCTCTTTTTAAAAAATTCTTGTCTATTGCTTTTGAACTTCAACAATTACATTATGGGACGTCTTCTCTCTTTCACTTTAACAATCTATGTGTGTATATATGTACGTGTGTGTGTGTGTGTGTGTGTGTGTGTGTGTGTGTGTGTGTGGGCCTGTGTTGTATGTACACAGGAAGCTTTATATTGCAGATAAATGGTCCAGATGGCTGTATTCCTTGAGCAGACAGGGTAAAATAACTTCAGACAGTTTAGAGCAGTCAGCCTGTAGTCAGGTCATTTTTGGAATTGAAGCAAGAGTGACTTTTTGTAGAAGTGCATGTATAACAGACAGATGCAAACTCTGTTTCTTGGTAGTAAAACAGTTTCGCAAATGTGTTCCTTTTGCTTGGGGGTGGAGGTGGTCAGAAGCACTAACAAGAAAAAGGAGGATGGAATGAGGGGAAGTTAGTTGCACGACTGCTTGAACTGATCACCTTTCAGGTCCAGTCTGTTCAGGCTGGAGTGATGTGGTTAGGCTGTATTATTTATGGTAATGTGAATATAAGCTGTCAACCTGCAGTACAACGTGGAGAGGCCTGATCAGAGGTGAATTTGCCATGGGAAATGGCTCTTCTCTCCAGGCACATTGGTGTTTTCCAATTGTTAGCAATGAGTTTAGGAACATTCTGGCTTTGGAGAAGTGGGAAAAAGATGCAGATAGATCAGTTTGGACATAGTTTCCAGGAAGAAATTTTTGGAAATTTGATGTCATTTGTGTTAACAATAGGAGTGTGTGTGATGATTAGACAGGAGTGAGATTTAGGTTTCATTGAGGAATCTAGAAGGGGCTTTGTGAGCCCTAGAACTGGGGGAGCAGGCTGAAGGTATTGTGTCCAGCTGGGCCACAGGACGCTTGCTCTGAGCTTGTGCTTTAGGCAAGGGACACTGCTGGGTATCTAGTGCACACTGCTGGAGCCAGGTTTTGCTTCTGTGTTTGACTGATATCTGTAAACTTGGTATTCTTGTTGGCAAAACTTCAAAAATACTACCACACAAGCAAATGACCCAAAACCTGATCTTGAACATATGTAAACAGGAAGGCATTTTAATTGATAATCTGAGATGTAGTTTATTTGCATGCGTTTAGGAGAGCTATAGTCCTTCATTGCTTTTCCTTTTTTCTTTCTTTTCTTTTTTTGTGCTGGTCCTAGGGCTTGAACTCCAGGCTTGGGCATTGTTCCTGAGCTTCTTTTGTTCAAGGTCCTGTCACTTGAGTCACTGCTCTACTTCTGGCTTTTTTGGTGATTAATT